TGTACAGCAGCAGTTGCAGCAGTATCAGTAGAGAACACACAAAACATTAGATAATAGCGACGACGACGACGATAAACTGTGTGTGGAAATCTTCGAAGAAAAAACACTGGACACTACGGATTTAATAGGGAAACCATAGGATGCATTGCACAACACAAGCACACGCACATGCACTCAAAGTGTCAGCAAGAAACAGAGAACGCTATTTTACTACCAAACACACTTTCATTGAGCACTTTCTTCTGCGGAAATCACCCCACCAAACATCAAAAGTTTGTAGCCGTTTTAGCCAAAGTGAGTGTAATAAAAAAGTTGTCTTTCCACTTTTCTTCCCTCCTTCCCCCTTTTTCATTTTTTGACGGCCACTGGTCAGTTTGCTGCTGGTGATTGCACCATTTTCGGAAGCGACACTTTTCAAACAAAAATGAACAATCACAAAAAGCACAACTGTGCACAGAAAGCAAACTTTGTTTTTAAAAACCAAATGTCTATTTCCCTTGTGCCATTAACTTCGCTGTGACAGGCTTCCCAAATGGCTACTGCTGTGCTGTTTCGATACTGTCCATTTTGCAGCATTTCTGCTTAGCTGTCAACCATCGCTGCCCGTCTGCACAATTGACAATAAAAACTGGCAGATACAGGATGCAGGCGATTAGATGGTCCGCTCTGATCGAATGCTGAAGAGGGCTAAGGAGAGATAGTCAGACAGAAAGTGCACACACTCTTAATCAGACGTCTGTCAAAGTTTTTTCTTTTTCTGCAACAAGATTACAAGTTCAATTTCAGCAACCGCTTTTTCTAGCGAATTACTTGTTTGGACGAGTTGTTTACAGCATAGAAAAAGTCAAAGAATGTATCACTATTCTCGAATGCTTCTTCACTTGGTTTGGTCGGTTTCACCNCTTGTTTGGACGAGTTGTTTACAGCATAGAAAAAGTCAAAGAATGTATCAATATTCTCGAATGCTTCTTCACTTGGTTTGGTGGGGTTTCACTCGACCAAAGGCAAGACCACACTGTTTACACTACTGTTTTGCACGGCACTAGCACCACCACCATCAACTCTACTGCTCTACTTTCTCCAAATGGGCAATTGCTTAGTGCCGCTGCTGCTGCTTGTGCTGCCAATTTCCAGTTGTTATTATTGGCCAGTGGCAGCAACAGCAGCAGCATTTAACCACTTGGCCATTAAGACACACGGACGGCACTAGTTTACGTGCACAAGACATGAAGACCACCACTGTCTTTTGGCTTGCCAGGGCAAAGAGTGCAGTTGGCATAGAAAGTCTAAGGAAACACTACACTAGTTAGTGCCAATAAAAACAGTTCACATTGAATGCCATTGGCTACAGCAGCAGCAGAAAACTAAACAGCAGTCAGGCTGTGAGCGTTTAGAGGAAACCAACACAGTTTGGATGAAAGTGCAGCAGTAGAGAGAAAGAGAGGCAGGGAGAAATGAAAGGGGGCACAAATCACCCCACTAAATCGTCGATTTCAAAGGAATTGTCGTAGACAAGGTTTGGCTAGCGGTTTGTTGCTGTTGGCATGCACTTGCTTTTATTTTTAATTTTAGCTGGTGGTTTGTTTTTAAATTTACATTTTAGGAGAGGGGGAAAAGTAACAGCAGTCAGCCATCAATTCCAGTGAATTTTTCGGGCTTGATAGCTGCTGCTGTACAATGAATGCACTGGTATACCAGTGGTCAAAATGGAAAAAATGAAAAAGAACACAAAAAATGGACATGAAAAAAATGAAAAACAAATAAAAATAGAGGAGCAACAATACATCTGATGGGCATATCACAAAGATAGTTGAGACAGAAAAAAAAAGAAAGAAGATGAGAAAAGCTTGTTGTGACAGTATTTATATGCAAATAGTAAATTCGGTGTACGGTGGCGGCATTGTGTGGGCACTGTACAGAGTGCATCGAATGAAAAAAGAGAATAGTAATAATACAGTGTCATTGGCTATTCAGTGGAAAAAGGATATAGAGAAAATGAATGAAAATGAATTATAACCCTCCTTCTAGCAAATAAAGCCCATCTGCAGTCTTTTGAATTTCGCTTTATCATTTGGCACGAATTCAGGACAACGAAAAAATGCTTCTAAATGCGGTCCACCAATGTTGTCCAGTAAACAACAAATATCTCCGTCAGATCATATTCCTCTCAATCAATATTTAATCAGCAACCAATCTGAAAAACGATAGAAAGAAAGAAAGCAAGCAAAGCAAAATTCTCGCCGAATCGGACATCACGAAACGGTTTCTGGTGTCGTTCAGCTGCAGCAGTACTTTTCATGTTGTGGTCGACAAACAGAAAAGTAGCAGTGGTGAAAAATAGTGGTGAACACCGACGAGCCAGGCAGTCGAGCAAATGGGCTAACGGTTCGAGGCATCAGCAGCAGCAAACTGTCACTCGTTTACTGCAACCGAACCGAGAACATCAACATCAGCGTGCTGTGTGTGCTTCATTCGCTGGCAGCAAACAAAACGAGACGACAGAGAGAATGCAGTGGTAGTAAATGGAGCTTATTTGGTCTTTGCTTCTGCTGCCGCCGACTTTTCCGCACTGGGAATTCTTGGTCGGCTAGAGTTGAGTTGATGTAGAGAACGGGGTCTTTTGGCCTGCAGAAATATAGCACATGATGCAGTCGAGAAGAGGAAAGAAAGCTGCCTGGCACACAAAGAGCCTGGCAAACAGATTAGGCTGCTTAATTACAAAATCGATAGTTGGAGGGTAGAAGGGAAGAAGAGAGGACGAGAAAATGGCTGGCTGGAGCAGTGTCAGAGAAGGCGAACGGAGGAGAAGAGGAGGGCAGAAGATGAGTGAGCAAAAAAGGAAGAGAAATGAGAAAAGGAATAAAAAAGAAGAAAAATAGGAAGAAGACAGCAGCAGAAAGATGCAGCCAGAAAATAGGAAAATAGGAAGAAAGCAGAAGAATCGCAGAGCAAATGGCAACCCGAACTGGGCGAATGAGATGTCGAGCACATACGCTGCTATTGGCAAAAAAAAGAAGAATGTGATGTTTGCAGCAGCAGAGAAAATGTAGGACAAAAATTAGCGCAAATAAACCCGTGAAAGCCACCCAATCGGTGTTCGGTGCCTGATGCTGCTGATGAAAATGAAGATGAACTGCAGCGACCGAAAACAGCAGCGACAAAATTCTCGGCCTTTTCTGCGTCAGTACTTTTCCGGTTCAGAAAATTAGATAATGGAGAGAAGAGCCGTGTGTGTGCTCTGCGTGGAATGCGTTGAGATGAAGAAGCCTCTGCAGAGAATAGAGAAAAGGAAAAACAGATATAAATTGAACGACCAATTAGGCAAACATTGAACGAGAGAGACAGAGATGAAATCCAATTAATTTCCGATCTCAATCTGCGAGCTCGCTCTCTCGATTCACATTCTCAATTTTCTCATTTTTTTGTTGAGCAAATATTGGTGATGCTTTAAAAATAAATACACATCCATCTGTCTGACAACAATAATAATACGATGCGCTGTACCGATGGATCACACTCCGCAGAGGGCAGAGGGAACTCAAAGTTCATCTTTCTTTTCAAACACAGTTGTAAAGAAAATAAAATAAAATTCTCGCATTTTAAGAATTGGAAGGGAAAGAAGAAAACTAGAAAGTGGCAGAGAAATGCCCTTTTTCTTTTTTTCCATTTCCAACTTTTCTTTTCGTTTTCTTCCCAAATGGTTTAGAAAGAAGCTCTATTCCGTGACTTCAATTTGCCGGCAAACAGAGTCAGAGGGCTAATGCAATCGTCAATAGCGACGACGATGTAAAAAGTGGAGAAAAAAGTTTGGCAGCAAAAAGTAAGAAGAAGAATGTGACGGGGAAAATAATGATAATATATAAATTACTATAAAAAGCACAAAAATCAAAATCAAATGAAATTTAATTCTGCCTGATTTTAGAGCTCAGCAGCAGAGATGGGCAGCAAAAAATATTTGTCACTCACTATACTTTCGGAAGCATTGAATCTGTATTGGGTGCTCGCTTATTACTAACCAAAACCGGCGGTAATAAAAAGGCATTGCTTTACTGCTTCCCTTTCTCAAACAACAGAATACTTCAAAGTATTCAGTGGCGCGTCCTATCGATCAAGTCACCGCACAGTGCACACTGCACACTGTGCAATTGAATTGAAAACGTACAAAGTGAGGGTAGTGCAACGCTAGGGCTCAGCAGGCCACCACCACCGCCGAGTGATTGTTGTCTGTCGTCTTTTGGTAGAAAGCAAAAAGAAAAAAAGAAATAAAATAGACAAAAGGGAGGCAGGAGAAAAAAGGCAAAGAGAAAGGCCAAATTAGGAGCGCCAATTGTACGGCAGCTTAGTTGTGCTCGGCACTCACTGCTCGCCTCGCTCGATTCAGTATTCATGGGCGAGTCAGTGTGCAGCAGCAGCAGAAGCGTTCAAAAGCCTTCGAAGCCTTTTCTCTGTTGTTGATGGTCGCGAGTGCTCCAAATGGAACAAATTATGGCTGATGGCCTAGCAGAAAAGAAGAAAAAGGAAATAAAACTAAAACAAAATAGAATCGAAAGTAACCGAAATAAAAGCCAGAGCTCGGCTGCTGACAAATGGAAGAAACAAAGTTATAACAAAGTGCTGCCGCTGCTGAGTTTTAGCTAGCTAGCCAGAAAAAGTAAAAGTCACAAAATAATAAAAAAGGAAAATCGATTCCTTTTAAATGGAATTTAAATTTGTCGCTTACTTGGCGGAATGTGCGGTGATGGTGGTGGTGATGACGATAGCGAAGGATGATGCGTCGCACCACTTTCCGACACCATACGAGAGAGAAGCTTGACGGCCAATTGGAGTGCTTGATTGCAGTTGATGTTGCTGTGCAGCAAAGTTGAAAAAAAGAAAAAAAGGGGGAACTGCAACACCGCCAATGGCAAAAGTCAGCCAACGGATGCGCGCTCCCGTTTTTTCCCTTCTACCACCTTCCGCTTCCGGTGGCGGCGATGGCAATTCCGCCGTTGCTGGCGTACGTGCCCAAATGATGGCTGCTGCTGGTGACAGCAGTAGCAGCAGCAACGGGAGCAGAGGCAATTACCGAGTCAACGACAACTGAGGCTGCTGCTGATGCTGCTGTTGAATTTTCAGTCGTTGTCTGGTGTGGTGCCTCTGGCGATGCTGCCACTGCCACCGCAGCCACCGCTGCTGGATCGAGCAAAATTTCAGCAGGTGGTGCCTGCGCTGAAATTGTTAGCCCTGAGTGCACCAGAGTGGCACCCGGTTGCGGGTAGTTGGACATTGGGCTGGTCACAACGGAGTGCGTCGAAGCTCGAGAAGGGGTTGCGTTATAATTTTGCTGATGTTTAAGCTCAGTGGAGTTGAGCACACCGCCCGCCATCAGACTGCTCGCCTCGGCCACCGGCTTGATGGAGCCGATGTACTCGTAGGTGACGCCGCCAAAGAGGCCGCCCACCAGCGGAGAAACCCAGTAGACCTAGTAAAAAAATTTTTGCAAAAAAAAGATGTTTTGTTAGTGAACCCAATGTTTGAAGTTTGAGTGACATGAATAGTGTGCATAGTGTGCTAGTGTGTTTAGTGTTCAGTGGCTGGTGACAGTGTCAACCATACAGTGCATTCATTCATTCATTTAGGCTCTCTTTTGCTCCACTGAGCTTGCCACTGTCCACTGGACTGCAGTGTGCTTGGTCCACACTGTGCAGTGGCCGAAAAGCTGCTACTCAATAGAAAGTGCACTTTGGGCACAAAAACCAGACGCTGTTGTTGCTGATGGAAATGAAAAAAAGGTCCAGCACTTTTGCCCGGCTGCCCTTTGGTTGGTTGGTTGGTTGGTTGGCAATAGTTTCAGAGCAAATGCTAATCCGATTAACAGTAAACCAGAAGAGTGGAAGGGAAAGGAGAAAGTGGGTACTCCCTGCACTGGCACTGTGACACAATCTAATAAATAATTTTGTCTCTCGCTGAACTTTATCTAATACTGTCCAAAAACCCGAATTCAACTGAAATCAACGACAAAGTTTAAGCAAACGAATTTCTGTTTGTCTTATAAATCCACTCGGGTTCAAGAAATTTTTGCCGAGCTATTGCTGTCACAACAGCGCTAATAAGTAAATAATATGAAAATGAAAACTACTATGTGTGGTTCAACTGAAAAACTACAAATTGAAGTTATGATGATTGATGATATAGGGGAAATAGAAACAAATGCGGCGTGTGCTCTTTAAAAGGTAAAAGTAGTTGAAGGGTCAAATCAAACAAGCGAAAAAAAAGTTGTAATTGCCGTACACTGATGACTGCTGTACGGTATGACAATAACAAGAAGAGGGAGACAAAATGTGACAAAACAGCGTCTGCAAAAGTTGACGTTGAGTGTTGTGTGTTGGCGCCCTTCTGTCCATCAACTGAGCCTGACTGGGAACACATGTGCTATTGACAATGATGATTAGGCTTGATTGGATAGACAAACAAACACCCAAAAGAGAAAGAGAGAAAGAGAGAGACTTGGCCAAACAAAAAAAAAGAAAATGTGTAGCAGGAGGAAAAAGGCTAGCAAAGTTGGGAGAGAGAGTGGGAGAATTGGAGCAGTTGGACACTTACCCAGTGTAAACACCAATTGCCGCTGAAGAGCGAGGCCGCCAAGGCGCGAGCCGGACTGAAGGAGGCGCCCGTGCTGCTGAACTGGAAGTGGAAAGAGGGAAAAAGACAGAGAACAAAAGAACATAAGAACACTTGTCATGGATGCATTTGGGAAATTCAATTAACCAATAAAGCAACACTACAGCTTTGGCACTCAAATCGATCGACTGAATAAAGTGAACTAGGCAAAAGATGCATGCATATACAAAACGATTCGGCAGCAACGGCGGCGGCAATTGCATGCACCAATTGACGCCACGCAGCTACTGCTGCAAGAATGCAAACGAGCGTCAATCGATGAATGGAATGAGAGATGAAAGGGAAGAAAATAGGAAAAAGAATATTCGATCGACAATCAACTGCTGACGGCAAGTTATTTTTCCTTTTTTCCCTTTTCTGCCCTTTCCATAATCAATGAATGACTGGTGTGAGTGTGAGAGTGTGGCAAACCACATCAGGCATCCATCATCATCATCATCATCTTCGCAACTTCATCTTTACTGCATCGACTTCTTATCAAACAAAATGCAACAGAAATCACCTCCATCCCTCTCCCACTTACCGCAAACAGGTGGGCGAGGCTGTAGGCAAGCCCAATGGAAAGCGCCTTGAAACCCAGGTCCATTCTGCTAGCGTCAGCATTGGCGAGGTAGGCGAGCACCACCAGAAAGGTGGCCATAAACTCAAAACCAAACACTTGTGCAGCAGTAGTAGAGTTCAGCCCACCTTCAACTATCACTGGAGCAGCCATGGGCGGAACGGCGCCAAAAAGGGCGTAAACGAGGGCGCCACCGGCGAGTGAACCGATGATCTGCGCCAGGAGGTACACCACCAGGCGGACAGTGGACACCCGCCCCGAGACGACCAGGCCGAGGGTGATGGCCACCGAGAGGTGACAGCCGCTGACGTGGCCAAAGCATTGCACCAGCGTCGCTACAGAGAGGCCCACCGAAGCGGCAGACTTGAGCTCGAGCAGGGCAAAAGCTGTTTCGGTGTTGGAGTTGTTGGAAGATAACTTTGAGCTGCTGCTGTTGACTAGCTCCAGTCGACTGAAGCAGGAGCTGACGGTGAAGAGGAAGAAGAGAAAGGCGGCGGCCAGTTCGGTGCGAGCCGCCTTCCAAAATTGAAAGGAAGTGAGCTCCCGACGGGTGGACACCCGATCGGGCAGCGAGTCCAGGTAGGCACGCATCAGACTGGAGGCGGACAGGTGAAGGTGGGGACGATTGAAGGAATTTGAGTAGGAGTTCGAATGAGGATGGTGGTGATGAGGGGGGTGATGGTTATGGGCACCGGTTGCAGACGGGTGCTGCTGCTGTTGCCGGTTAATACTGCTCGGGTCACCAGAGCTAGAGTCGGCCATCATCATCGAATGTTTTAATTGCCAGGCAAACACTGTTTGAATGAAAAGAATAAATTTTAGATGTTTTTAACAGCTGACTACCGCTTCGAACAGTGGCCAGTAAAGAACTGACAGAAGCAAGAATGACGGCAAGAACCAGAAGCAGACCACCTCGCCGTCGTCGTCGTCGTCGTTTTCGCGGTTGCAAGCTTCTTNACCAGAGCTAGAGTCGGCCATCATCATCGAATGTTTTAATTGCCAGGCAAACACTGTTTGAATGAAAAGAATAAATTTTAGATGTTTTTAACAGCTGACTACCGCTTCGAACAGTGGCCAGTAAAGAACTGACAGA